GTTGGTTGTTAGTTTTATTGGTGGTTGAATTGGTTTTGAATTATCAATATTGACAAATTATTGTAGATTTAGCTTTAAAAATTGTTATTTTGTTGGGTTTTTGGGGTCAATGTGATTTATGCCTTATATATCAACTTACATAATTACTTCATAAAATAACTATATCAGATATGCATAGCGAAGAGGCATATAGTGAGGTTAGTTCAGGTGATATCGTGTAAATAGAATTGTTGATTGGCACATTGGAACTCGAATTTAACCTCCTTGTCTGTCACTGACCTTAAATCAGATCATGTTGACAACCAAATATCTACTAATTCTCGTCATTGTAACGTAGTTCACCTACGCTAGCCAAGTCGTGTAGTCTACTATCAACTTTATCCAGTTAAAGTCCGAATATTTCTTCGAAGCAGTTCCAACTTTATGCACCTCCTTTTTCAGTCATGTGAACATTAACGGGCCAATTCGCGGGCTGAAATGTAGTTTGTGATACGATTCGTTCACGTGTACGATTCGTTCACTCGCGAGTTTAGGAATCAACATCTGAGGCAAACAGGAGGCAAGAAAATTGAGGCTTTTCTGGAAAACATTAAGAAAATATTCATGCAAATTATTTCAACGGTGTATTCGCATGAAATGCGTTGGTAATTGCACGTTGGACAGACTCAAAAAAAGTTTTATCTTAACGCGAAAGCCAAAGCTTCGTCCTCAACGTCGAACTGTTTAGTAGAGCATCACTGAGACCGCGCTGCTGGTGACTCATTCTCGGAATTTTATAAAGTGCGTGTAGGAATCATATCACAAACTGTATTTCTATATTCCTATATTCACGTAGTGGCTCTTCAAAGTCGAAAGGAGAGGAGGGAGTTGCCATCCATTCGTAAGTTTCAATAGTAAAAATTTAAGTCGTAACGAATAGATGCATGGGAAGGGAATAAAGGGAACTTTCCCCTACCAAAACATTTCAGTAACTATTAAGTTTTAACTTGCCACGAAACTTCCAAGCAAAATTATTTTCGTTTTAACATTAAAACGAATAAAATAGGTTTGCAACACAAGCTTATTCTTTCGTTATTCTACGTAATCAGTAAAATGACTTAATCGATCAAAACATTTTGAAATTTAAAAAATCCCCTCCAAAAAATTCGTCTCTGGATTCGCCCTTTTAACGAAGCTTCAAATTGACTGACAATATTCTCCTCTCCGTTCAGTGACCTTCAAATGCCACTGTGTTAAAAATGGAGTATACCAATCGCGATTCCGCCAGATTCGAACATGTTGTAACACATAGTCCTGTTGCTGCAGGCCCTGTTAGAAGACTGCGCTCCCGGTCGCTTTCCGCCCTTGACGCCCCGTTGCTACCACCACGCCACCTGCCCGGTCAAGTTCCTCGTCATGGAAGACCTGCGGCCCGCGGGCTTCCGGCTGGCCGACCGGAAGCGAGGACTCGGCCTGAGGCACAGCCTGCTCGCCCTCCGCGGCCTCGCCCGCTTCCACGCCGCCTCGCACGCGCTCCTGCGGCAGCGGCCGGAACTTGAGCGGGCGCTGGACAACATGCTGAACGTCTCCGATCAGGGCCATCAGGACTTCGTGAAGGGGGAGCTGGAGGCTACGGCTTTAGCTTGCCGCTCCTGGCCGGGCTTCCAGGAGATAGCGGAACGACTGGACAAGTTCAAGGTGGTTATGATTCTGTAACGTACGAGTATGTTGGGAAATTTGTACGTTTTAGATTTAGATTTATTCACTCAAAAAAACAGTAAAAAACTGTATGTGACGTAGGGGGGAGAAGATTATTTGCGTAACGTTGTCTTGAGTTCCAGAATCCCTTCGGCATTTTAATTATAAATAGTTGAAAAATGAGTAAAAGTTAAACATAAATATATAAAAATAAATTTTAAAAATCGCAAGATCAGCAATATTTGAAAAATAGTCATTGTACGATGTACGAGTATATTGGAAAAACGAGTATGTTGGAGTTCCTTTTGTTATGGACAGTAAATTATAAATACAATTGAAGGGTTGCGTCAGAGATGGTCATAAGCCACACTCTTGGCGGTTTTCACTTTTCTTATTGGCAGATTTCCAGCAGATGTCTCTGAATTGTTGATGTTCCAGCGGGAAATGACGTTATAAGCCAATGTTCTTCTCTGCGTCATCGTGAAGATTACAAAAATATGTTCGAATCACAGTTTGAAAATGCACTCCTGTAAAGAAGTGATTTTTTGGCTTGCGACTATCTCTGACGCAACCTTTCAATTATTTATGTCATTTCGTAGATTTTATTATTCACGTTTATCATTAAAATGATTTATTTCATATCGTGGCTTTATTTGTAGGGATCCTTTTATTTACTTACAAATAATTAACATTATTTGCTTCATTTGGTGGCTTTGAATTATGGGTTTACTTTTATTATTCACAATTATTTATAATTAAAATTATTAATTTTATAGTAATAATAATTAGCAATAAATACTTTATTCCCGTTTTGGCCTCAGAAGTATAGTTACTCCTAGATTTTTGTGTTTAGTGATATTTTTAAAACATTGCAAATAGTGTTAATTTAATACGTATCCGACATTTAAATCACTGTTCGCAATTACCTCTTGAGTTCCCAAACAGTCTTCAAACCTTGGAAATACTCACCAAATTCAGATGATATTTATGCGGCGACGAAATGGGAAAATCACAAGAATAATTTATTCAGGAATCTATTCTTCTAAAGCCAAAACGGCACATAAATTATTTATTGTTAATAGTATGCGTGACATACTATTATTTGTTTGTTCCACCTGATGGAGTTTCACTGTAAGTGAATACTAAATTTATCAATATAGATACAAACGTACGCAAATTTCTTTTTACTAATTATTTTGTTGTTATAGACAATTTCAGGAGTTGTTTTCGATAAAATCAATGCACCAGAACCCGGAGGTTTCAACGTTATATCTCATGGTGATTTCTGGACGAACAATTTAATGTTCCGATATGAAGATGGAAATCCTGAAGAATTTCGTGCAGTTGATCTGCAGGTATGTAAATAATAATAATAATAATAATAATAATAATAATAATAATAATAATAATAATAATAATAATAATAATAAACTAGACTATACAGGATCAATCCTCAAATAGTTACCAGGAAGCGTAAATCTTGTTCTTCAAAATTTATATTTCCCGATTAATCTGGCTGACGTCGTGCTACCTTGAATTTGAAACCGATATTTTAATTTTGGAAGGTACGTTACAAGAAGACCTTGGAAAACTTTCAAAAAAAATGGCTACATCATTTTTGGTTAAATTTTTTTGTTGGATAGTGTGAAGAACGTTTGCGGGAATGGTGTAGATCTCACTTTTCTTGACTTTTCGAAATTTCAAAAACTCAAAAGTTTTTTGGCGTCTTCCTGCAACTAAAATTTTGAAAATTTTTCTTAATTAATTTTTCTTTAATGTGTTCATCAAAAACAATTATTCAAAAGAGATCTTATTCACTATTTCCAAAATATGAGTAATTTTAGATGACTCATAGGCGAATTTAAATCCACTTTAAACAATTTTCTCAGAAACTGCTTCATATCTCGTCTTTCATTTGTATTCTCATATGTTGCAAAGAACTTTAAAGGTAGTGGCAATGGTCCCATATTTAGTGCACTCTGCATTTTTGAAAATTGCAAAACTAGTTTGGAATTGTAAATTAGAATTACGCGCACTTTGTTTCAGGCGTTGCCACTTCAGAAAACAACTATATTTAGTGTCATTTGTGCCTAACGTATTTCTACTAGAGGTGAAGCAATTATTTTCATTAAATGTGATACTGATATTTCATTTTGATGAGCTCTGGACCTCAGACCAGGAAAAGATAAGAAGCGCCATTTTTAAATACTTAACCAGTTCTTAAAAATGCAACTTCACAAACAATACAGTGCACTTCACAAAACGCCTACTGGAAAGCAAAACGGCGTTGACTTAACTCGGGCCATCAGGCCCGCTCTTCTGTCTGACCACGCAAATTTCGCTACGCTCCTTTCACCAACTCAGAGGCGTCATTTAGGCTTGAGGATCTTTTACATGCAAGTGAATCTACTAACATGGGACAGCCGGCTTTACTTCCCCTCCGACGGATTTTTTGGACCTTAAAAATCCACGGCTTGGATCGGTTTTGAACCCACCAACTTGGATGTAGCAGTCCGTTACGCTAACAATTACACCATCGCCGCAAACATCTTCTGTGGCAGTACCGAAGAGTGGTTACCTTATAGACGGCTCCTAGTAAACTCCGCCTGAAAATAGTATTAATTAAAAGTTGAAACAATTACATTAAAAATAGTAACCTTAAACACCAAAGTTTATACAATGTATAATATTATATAACATTGTTATAATATATAATAACATTATCAAACTTTGTACAACATTGAACACCTTCACAAGGATTGGATATGAAGAGAGCCCGAGCAATACCAGATATTTTGCTAAGCATATTTAAAATTCAAATGTGTGCCTCAAATAAAAATTGTATAACTCAGGTAGACGAGTACCTTAACAGGGTGTATTAAACGATAAGAGGACGTTTGCGAGAAAAATAACGTGTGTGATACGACGATTTGCAGTTGGCGCACGTCTGCTCTCCAGTCATCGACATACTTCATCTCTTCTCCAACAGTGTCAGTGATAACGTTCACGCCCACCACCAGGATCTGCTGCTGAGAGAGTACCACGTCGAACTGCGACACACGCTGGAGATACTCGGGCACAAGGTAAATTAGTCAATCGTCAGTCAAGAAAATTTAGTATGGTTTGAAAGAGATAAATGTCAGGAAGTTCAATCACCAATAATCTTGCAGGCAACGTTAATACGCCGGATGCCGAGATCGCTCAGGCAGTAGTGCCGTAGCGATCTCGGACCGAAGGATCGCGGGTTCGAGTCCCGCCTCGGGCATGGTTGTATTGTGTTCGTCCTTTCACCCCATCATCATCATCATATCGCGTCATCGTCACAGTTACCATACCATTACAAGCAATAGTGATCGCTAATGACCTAGAAGTTGATGCGACCTTAAATAAAATTTTAAAAAAGGTTAATACCTTCTAATAACAGCCACACAGAAAAAGTTGCTCGTGCCTGGGGATCAGACCATGGTTTCCATAAGCTTTTGGGGTCACTAAATCCGAATTCGGTATCCGTTTTACTCCATAACATAAAGTTTTTGACGTATACTAAAAAATGTATAAAAAATGAAAGATACTTCTAACTCAGGGGTCAGACCATGTTACCTTCATGCTTTTGGGGCTGCTGAAACCGCATCTGAAGTCCATTTAACTTCATCACATCAGGTTTTTCACATAATATCAAAATAATTTAAGAACTTGTCTGCTAGGAAAGATGGCGCCAATGATATAGGCAATCTGCCATACAAGAACGTGATGAGTGTTGTCCCTGCAGAGGCCAATGCTATCTTCTTAGAAAATTTGATGTGATGAAGTTAAATGGACTTCAGATTCGATTTCAGCGCCCCCAAAATCATAAAGGTGGCCTAACCCCTCGGTTAAAAAAAAACAGCGAAGGAAGATTACCGCCACCTCAGATTTTAAAAAAAACATGCACTACACTTGCGGGACTAATTACTGTCGCATTTGACGAACCCGAAATCACTAATCAATCAATTTTTTTAAAAATTGTTTCCAGGCACCGTCGCTAGAGTCGCTGCAGGCGGCAATGGAGGCTTGCGGCAGTTACGCGCTGTACTTTGCGTTGGAGCTGCCCATTGTGAAAGCCGATGAAGGCCTCGATTTGGACGCCGTCAGCAGAGGGGATTACACCGACCTGCTGCGTGTGTTGGAGACCCCGGACATTAAAAAGCGACTGCAGCGCAGTCTCCAGGAGTACGCCCGAAAAGGGTGGCTTCCTGCTTAGTTTTTAACTACTCTTCGGGTTCATTTGACCCGAGGGAAATGTTTTACTTTCTCGCTACGGAGTTGAGAGATTGTTTTGTAATGCTGCGTGGAAAAAAACCCACGAATTTTTGTCAGAAAAGCTCTTATTATAGAGCCCTGGTAATGAAAAAGGGAATAAATCCAGTTGCTAAATTTAGGAGGAAAATCCTCCAACACGCGGTGTAGCCATAATCCGTTTTGTGGGTCCAGGAGAGCGAAAAACTGAGTAACGACAAAACGTCTGTCTATCCGTCAGTCTGCCTGCCTGATCGTCCGTCTGTGAACAACGCAAGTAGGTCTTTTAAAAGAATGATACAGGTCACATGTTCTTTAAAAATCCCAATTTTTTGAAAATTGCAAAAATTCAAAATTTTTCCGGTGTCATTCTACAACTGAACAATTAAAGATAGAGTTTTTTCCTTAATGAAATCTGTTCCTTAAAGATAGATTTTGAAATAAGGCAATGCGCGTTACGTACTTTTAATGCGCCGAGAAGCCCCTCTGAGCATATTCTTTCCAACGTTTTCGTGCTAACCGTCTATTGTGATCCGTGCTTTGGACTGGCACTGACGAAGATAAAAGCCTTTGCTTTTTTTATTATCTTGTTGTTTAGAACGTGCATTAATTTTAATTTTCCCATTAAAGACAAAACCCGTATCAAAATCAAGGAATAATTTCGGATCATAATCTAAAGAGCGTGACAAAAATAAGACACAAGTCGAATACATAAATCCAGGAATCAGAACGGACGAAAAGAAGGAAGGCAACACAAGAAGTGACTATTAACTGAAGGCTTCAGAGTACATAACAATGAAGAAGTCATAAACCACGCCATCTAGTGACAATACGGACACGCATTCGTACCTCCAAAGCGCCACCCACTGGATATTGAGGGGGTGTTGCTCCAAAGTTTCCCATACATCTCGAGATACACTGAAAAATAAACGCGATCTAGAAGCACGTACATAAACTGTTAAATATTGTCTTACATCTTGCTTCAGTGCTGCCCTCAAGACTCGGCTCGATAAACTACATAGTGGTAGGTCATGTTCAACCACGAGTAAAAAATATACGCCACGGTGTAAGAAATACAATTATCCTTTAACAATCTTTAACCAATAAAAGGTTTGTCTGGTATTAATAATTTAATTGTCTAATTATCGTTTCGATTGCGTAGCCATCATCCTCAGAGCTTGCAGTTTCCGGCCGAAAACAAAGTTCTGCCAATGCAGTGCACTGTCAGTGTGGTGTAATCTTAATTATACAAACGTTAGCGCGAAGTTAGATTATAGAAGTTTCTTTTTCTTAAGGTAATTTAATGTTTTATGAATCAGTTTTTATATTATTATTGTTGTTATTATTATACCATCATTTATATTCTTACCAGTGGTTAATATTATTACTACGCTTATTATTAATTTACCATTATTATTAATATTATTATTATTATAAAATTTATATGTTAGTTGCATTTTTAAATCGTGTTATAATTATAATATACTAGCGGACCCGACAGACTTCGTCCTGTCAAAAAGATTTGTAATGTGAATTTTTTTCCCCACATATTTTATAGTCTGGCAAAAAATTCTCCTGAAACAGAACCGTCACCCTGGTGGATAGGGCGTTGTGGGAATGAAGAAATATACTTAAATAAACATATATAAACATTTAAAAGTAAGTAATCGCTTTTGTAAAATCATGGAAATTATAATTATTAACAAAAATCAGTTTTTGTTTGCATTGTAGTGCTTTGTGATATTCGATGTTTTTTTGTTTGATACCTGGCACATAGAAAAAACAGATCTGATGGTTTTCCAACAACGGGAACAGGCAACATACAATTGACCATCGTGAAGAAACATGGGTTTTCCAGATTAATACCACAAACACCTTAATGATTGCCCCTGGGCACTTGTTTATGGTCATAGCAAAAGCCTAGCCGAACTGGAAAGCTGTAGTCGTTTAAAAGTCAAAAACGGCACATCAGTCGGAATATTGGGATGTGCGGTATCGAGGACGTCTTCTCCCTTATACCTTCCTTTCGGTATAGTTCTTCTTTGACGTTGTTTAGTAATTTTTTTTATCGTTAAACAGTGTGCCGTGCAAAGACGTTAGTTGGCTACATTTCGCCCAACATTATAACTACGATCCACACCTTTATTGAAGATTTTGAGGTGGCAGTCCTGGCAAATCCAGCGAGTTTAAAAAATCTGTGGATAGTTACTACATCATCTTGGTTAGTAAGCCAAATCAACTGATTTAATATATGCCTCGATTCGCCTGTAATTTGTTCTTGAATTTTAAAATTAAATTCATTTACATCTATGTTTTTTGCAGCCAATATAGCTCGTTCGCATCAACAATCATAGGTTTCTGTAAATTTTGAGAAACAATCTGGAAACACCTTCTGAATAAATTCATGCTTGATCGAGTCTACTGGCTGCATTAACTTTCCTCAAAGTTTTTTGTCAGTTAACAGGTCTATAGGAAATTTGCCAATTACAATAAGCAATGAGTTGTTTAGAAGAATATCTTCCAGATTGGTCCCATTTTGGCAAAACTCGACACGCATATTCTTGGCTTAAATGAAGTACTTTGACATGTTTTCACAAATTGGAAGGACTTTAATACATGCATCTGAGGTTCATGCAAGCTGGTTGGTTGATGCGTGAATCACTGGCAATGTTTGACGAAAATCTCCCAGCCAATAAAACCATTGATCCAACCACCCATTGGTTATTGATTTGGCTCCGTAAGATATTTTTAAGGTTCGTCTAAACGCCTCCAAAGATTTTTTTATGTGCATCGTGCATTCATCAAACAATTAATTTACAATGCTTGCAAGACCTTTTGGCCAATGGGCAAGAGTTTCTTCGAAATGTTGCAGGTCGGAGTTTCATTGTTTGCATATTTATGGGCATTTTAATTCTGAATGGTGCTGTTCGACCAACCTTCAAAGCAAAGTTGCTCGGCGATTCCCGGGACGAAAGGCGAGTGCAAGTGCAAATTTCATTTTGTGAGGCGAATCGTTGCTAAAATTAATGAAAGCAAAAAAGTTTATTACCTGTAACCAGCACCAGGATGCATCTAAGAAGTAAATCCCTCCAAGTTTCATGCATTTGTTTTCTTTCATAAGAGTATCAAATACATACTTCTGTTGTTTCATTTCGACAGTGAAAGATTTGTTTGAAATTTATTCTTTCAAAAGTGTTGAGAATCATATCAGTTTTCCTCGATTCAACTCTTTGGTTTAAAAGCATCATGCATTGGATGATTGGGCGGCGGCCCAGGACCTAATTGAATTAATAGTTTTGTTTGGACATCATCAAGCACATGTCCTCAATTGAAATCAATGCTTCATTGTAAAATTCCCTGAACTAAGTGACAATGATTATGATCTTAATGATTAAGAAATTGAAGATTAGTGACATTTTAACGTTGGGTGACAGAACATAACAAATAATTATGATTAAACTTGCTATAAGATAAATACCTTGAAAGTTGGCATAAAAAATTTCCCGAACCTACATTTGATGACCCAAATGAAGTGCATTTGAAAGGCAATTGTTATATTGGTTGGGATTATTTTGTCAAAAAGTGTAAATGGAATCTGTTTCCTAATTCCTGAACCAATGAGTAGCAATGGCTCTGGTGGTGGTTTCAATGGTAATCAACAAATTTCACTTTCAACGCATTTGCGCACACAAATCCCATTAGTTTCGTTTTTTATATTTCAATGCCTTACAATATGAAGGGCAAACCGAGTTTTATATTAACGCATTAACACCACATTGGTAAGTTACTGCATGTCAATTGACAACATGGTAAATGAAAGCAGCTCGATTCAAACTTGCGCGATTTATTAGTTGAATGTAGCGCTCGCGCTTCAACACGCCGTTTTCTGATATCCCGAATTCTTTCATGTTCATTTCGGTCGTCACGCATTCTTGTGGCAAGCATGATTAGATTTGGTAATTAAGCTTTGGTTTGTAGCATTTCGGGTTTTTCATCCTAATTGCTTTCGTCTAATAGGAGGCATTTCTATATCAATAGATTATTTTTGTTAAATAGTTTTCGGAACGCGACATTTAAAATCTTCCAACGATGTATTCTGTGCTCCAACGCAAGCACACGCAAACTGTTTTGATAGATATGATTGGGAAATTTCGAACTTTGTATAATGGTAAAAAGTGTAAATTGCTCTTTGATGTTAGGAACATACCTCACATTGTTTAAACAACAACTATATACAATAGCTAACAAACCTCCAAATTGACTCTACGTATTAGTTAGAAAAGCTTTGTATAGGAAACGAAAAGCTGTTTTTAAAGGGGTTTTTCCTGCAATATATTCGAAATTTTCTCGACGTAAAAACCATTCTTGAACTTCAACAAACACCTTTAAAACAGAATTGGTCCAGGCGTTGTTTGAGCTATGCGCTTACAGAACACATTTCTGGCGATTAATTTTTTAATAAGATTTCACATTGTTTATTGTAATATCTAAATAGTCAGCTTTTGATAACGAAATGTCGATACGAATAGAAAATTCGATTTTGTTAAAAATGAACAGATATCGAATAGCAATCCCGGGGGATTAATTGCTTTTGAAACTGTTGCGCGAATGCGATCTCTTCGCATAATCTGCTAGATGCTGTCTCTGTCTGAATATGCTAAGAAGAGGAGACAGCGGAAATGCGATACTCGCAAGAATCGCAAGACCAAATTTTCATGTTTCTCTGGCTCTTTATCTTTCGTAATGAAAGAAGGAAAGGACAGATTTCTGACTGAAATAGAAAAGCTTTTAAAATTTTAAGTTGAAAAATCTATTTAATTATTGGTAAAAAATATTAAAAATGTATTTGATATCTAAAAAAAACGGGCCAATAAATTTTTTTTACAAAAACCGGGAGACCCGGAGATGAAGCTCAAAAACTGGAGTCTCGGTCTAAAACCGGAGAGGTGGCAACCCTAGCAAATGACTGCGCTTTGACATTAGAAATACCTGTACATACAATGAGTGCTTGTGCTACTAACAATCAATGAAGTGCTTTTATACAACGAGCTAATAAAGCTCAAATTTGATCTACGATTTTTAGGTTAGAAAAAAACGTTTGTATGAAAAAAGAAAATGCTGTTTTTTAAAGTTTTTTTCGGGCAATTATTCGAATTTTTCTCAGACGTAAAACCATCCTTGTGAATTTCAACACGAACATTTAAAAAAAAGATTGCGCCCAAATTGGTCCAGGCGTGTTGATGAATGCGCTTACCAACTCACATTTTGCGATATTTTTTATAGTATATATATTATATATATATATATATATATATATATATATATATATTATAAATATATATATTATAATTATAAC